TTTGTGTGTGCTAAGATTACTGACAAACAAACATGTACATTTTTTGCGTTGAAAACATTTTTGAGATTGTTGGATGAAGAATTGGATAGTGATGCTGAAAGTTGACGTGGCAGCCCTCAGCCTTGCTGAATAAGAAAGAATAAGAAAATTAACAATTGTCCTCTAGCACACAGCCATTGATTAATTATATAATTAAAATATACTACTGTTCACCACATTGTTTTAAGTCAAAATCAATTCTGAATCTCACTACTGGGCCAGAGATAAATAAAACGAAAGTTATTTTGACAAATGCATCAATTATTTTATATTTTTGTGTTGGCTTTTGTCGATTGTTATGATTTAACAAAATACTTAAACTTTCAAATCTATGTTTATTATGTGGACAGTCTTTAAGAAAAGGAGGTTGAACCGTTTATACTCTAATTTAATTCAAAGTTAGAGAATTCCACATTTATATTTCTGACTAAAGGATAATTCCGATGGAGATGTTAGAGCCAAGATAGTTGAATTGCTTCACTTCCTGAAGCACTTCATCTCCATTTATAGATCAGCTGTTCCGGATGGATTTCTTTGAATCGTTTGATCTTTGGATTTTTGTTATGAAGATGGAAATTTAATGACCAGTTATCATATCGTGGCTACTCTGCTTTTCAGGCACTGTGATTCTTTGATGATAACAGTGATAATGGCAAAACAAACACCTGTTCAGGAGATATGTAGAAAACATAATACGAAAATTGAAGTCGGCCGTTTTCAATCCTCTCTCGAATATGCCTGTCGCTTGAATGAAAATCATGCTGAATTGCTCAATATAATCAGTTTTCGCTAAAACTGAAATATGCCTGATGCATATATTTCGCTTGCAATCTTTGTCAAACAGTTTAAATGTGGATGACAGGCAATAGGCTGTTAGCGGAGTTGAAGTTTATTATGAGAAACTTCTCGGTATATACTGAATAATAAATTTTAATTTTCTGTAAGTGTTACTTTTAATTTTATGCTATTTCTCCTGGCTGAGTCCATTTCGTCTTCTTGTATTTGCTGCCTTGTTTTACATTGGATCAGTGGCAGTTTGTCATTGTAATAAATTTCGTCTGCTTGGGAACAGCCAGGGACAGTAAGAGATTATGTTTATATTAATGAATGTCAAATTTTCCAAGATATTTAATATAGGTAATCCGTCTCATCGGTCATCTGTATCAAGTAACATTATTATTTAAGTTACAAGTATCTTGCAATGCCGCGGGATCCGTAGAATTTTACCTGGAGTTTTGTGCAACGCCTGCGCTAATCGCAGATTTCGGCACGCCTGTTAATCGTTTCAGCTGATACAGTTTGGGTTACTTAGAGTCGTACGTAAAAATGCAGAGGAAACGAAGGAAATGTGTTTGCTTTAGCGGTCCGTTCATCAGCAGAATTCGAATGTGCGCGTTCCTTTACTACAGTCGCTGCTGACATGAGTTCAAGACAGTAGTGCACTAAGAGAAGCAGCGATTTTTGTCTGGCAAATGAATTTCTCTGACACTAACTATTAACACATGTTTGTTACAAAGGATCGTCTTCACTCGCTATTGTTTACGCTTGCCAGAAGTCTTAGATGCCACAGTTCTGTTTAGTGATCTTAGGCACAGGCATCTGTGCACAGTTTCTAGTCAGGCATCATTCTTCTCACACAGGCCACCTCGAAATTCATTGAACCAAACATCAAAGATAAGATTTAAAATCGGCAACTAGTTTTTAACAGCTAGAAATATTATCTTGACGTGTACCAGTAATTGTTGCTGTCAAAGTTGGCTGCGATAGGGAGCCGCGCTTCCACGACAACGGATCTTGCTAAGCATTTCAAATGGAATTTTCTTTATGTACTTAGTTGAGACGTTTTGAATGCAATTGTGGAATTCAATTTTCAAAAACATGCATAAGTCGTGCTAAATGTTTACAAAACTCGACAGAAAAGATTTGACCAGAATTGGCTCACCAGGTTATATGCAAATTAGCACTTGATATGAAGGTACCTTTCTAATAAGTATGTTCACAGGAATTCTGATTGAACTAATTTTGTCGTGGATAAGCATTTATATACTATAATAATGAGCCATTTTGTTAGTTAATGGAGATCAACAGACCAGTAGAAGCCTAATCCAGTCATACTGTTGTATGGTGTTATGGCATGAAATTAAAATAAATTCACACGTAAAACGTGTCAAAACTCTTTTGTGTCGCAGTACCAGTGTAAAGTTAGAAATGCAGTTTTCTTTTTTACACTTGGTTGCAATCCCGTATCATTGTTGATAATGTCATTTGTACAACGGCGGTATCGAAAGCTACCACTTTTGGAATCTACCCCAGAATATCTGGGTTGATTTGTTTAGAATTGTTGCAAGGTTTTTCATCTATTTTTAATCCCGTGCTCTCTTGGAAGTTTTAGGGAATAATAATTTAGTTTAAAGTTCGAATTTTATTTTTTATTTTTAAGGAAACAGTTTATTTATGAGAGAGAATTTCTGTATCACATCTGCATCTGCAAACCACATTGGAAATATCTCGACATTTCGATTTCGATTCTTTAATCATTCTTGTCGAGGATTTTTGTTTACGACACCTTTTATAATCGACTCATTTTTCGTTCTATTATTAAAATTTGTTTGCCTTTTAGATGGCCATATAACGAATCATATCAACACCAAGTGTCATAAGCGTTGTGCGGAGGTGGCGTTAATATTTGAAGCAAAAATGAAAGACAAGCTGAACGCTTGCAAAAGGCAGGAATGCCCGTCAGAGGACGATGCTGAAGACCAGTGGTGCAAGATGCAGAAGTTGGCAGAATCAGTGGTAGATGAAACTTTTGGTGATCACGAACCAGGTACGTCAAGGGCTGTGACGATGCTATCCAGCGAAGCGAACGGCAACGAGTTGGAGGCAGCGTATGCTTTAAGTAGCCTACTGACGTTTGGTATGGAAATGAGCCCGGTGCCAACAAGCGAAACAGCGGTTCTTCCACGTCAAACTCTAGCGGAGACAGCGCCAGAGCAGATATATTCCAAGGAATTGGAGATGGAACTGTACTCAAATTATGAACAGGTATTTTCTGCCCTTAAAGAGAGCAGCAAGGGTGATGGAACGTCGAAAGAACCGAACGCGGGAAGGAAATCCATCAATAACGAAATACATGATAATGCAGTTCAACTGCACAGAAGCTTGTCAGTGAAACCTAATCTGCCGTTTCCGTTTTGCGCTGGCGTTTCCAGGGGCCTTCGCAATGATGACGCGAATTCCAGTCTCTGTGAGCACTCGTACAGCGAATCAAATGAAAGTTCCATCGATAGGAAACGGACTGACACGATTTGATCCCGGCTATTTGTTAGAAGCCGCTGTGGCTCTAAAGTTATTGATTTTGAAAAACTATACCGACCGGTGTTTAAAACTGTGAAAGTGTACGATGCATTGTTGATCACTGTTTGGAGCAGCTGGTTTTGAAAGTCGCAAAGGGACTGTAAAAACACTGTGGTTGCTGCGGCAGGGTGGAACCAAGTTCGCTGAAAACTCGTTGGAAAATTCTGTGCTGTTCACTTCGTTTCATTTGTGATTTTTCACGCTGATATCCAGTTGTTATACAAAGGACAGTTTTGGTTGATGATCAAAGATCGTCAAGCATTTTGCTCCTTTTTCGTTGGATCAAAAAATATTTACTGTACGTTCTGTTAAACTGTAGTTCATGTCGCAATCCATAATTGCGTTTAGGTTTTTTTAAGCTGTGTTGTTTTTCATTTTATAGTAGTTAGCGATGCTCCAGGAAATTATAGAAAATTCAAGTAACATTAAACATGGTCAGAGAGTTGCTGGTTTCTGAATTATTTAAATCCTCTATTTTTAAAACTAACAATAGGTAATGTTTTGAACTAATGAAACAGCAGAAAATAAGGCTTCTGAAGATCCGATAAAAAATTTCTTTCCCCTAAAACGAACCATGTACGTGTTTCGAACAATTCTGCAAGGAAATATCTCGAGAGCGTTCATTTTATCTTTGCATCTACCTGACTACTGAAATGACGATTTTCAATATCAACTCAAGCGTAAAATATGTTTGGAGACCGTGGCAAGTCTGTAAAACTTAGCCACGTCCCACACGGTACTGATGCCATTGAAAATTATGCAGCCCCGGTCATCACCCGCCTTACCTACGGCTGCCCTGGCTGTTCGGGACTGCGGAAAGCTGGTGTTGAGAACCTGCTCATTGCCCTCTGCCAGCAGGGGGTAGTAACACAACAACGGCTGACGGCGAACATGCCAGTTAGCAACGGAGGAGGCAGAGAGCGCGATGCCATTATACCACGTTAGAAAAGGATCCACAAAAACGACATTGCCACTGGTACCCTAAAGTCGAAAATTGGATCATATCCTCACTCAGAGGAAAAAAAGAGTTAGCTGATGAGGCCATAAAGTATCAACTGGACACTGTTGGGTTCTCGTCAACGAAACGCCAACGCGCTGCACCGCTGAACCTCAATGGATGGAAGCAATTCTACGCAGGCGTCGATATCACGACTCGCGCTCAGGCCCTTGTTGCTAGTAAAACCTAATATCACCGATTGAATTATTGATTGAAACCTGCCAGCGGAAAGATGGTAATCCTGCGACTGTAGCTAAAATGGCTAAAGGGATGACCTTAGTACAGGTTCATCAGCCTAATTTGGATACCGTAAGAAATGGAGTACCATACGAAGGTCTGGTGGCAGAAATAACCGGAGAATCAAATGGGGAACATTGTCTTCGGTGGACACGACAGCGAAATTTGCAAACATCGCACGACGGTTTAAACAAATCCCAGCGATGACAACTGATGTTGAAACCGAG